ACACTAAGATCATTAATTCGGGGTAAGAAATCTTTATTCTGGGGCTGTTTGTGTAAGACAATGCCGTTTTCAAAATATTTTTGTTGTTGATATTTTTGTTTGTTTTGGCAACATTGTTCTTGGTTGAAGCAGGGAGAAATTCGCGCACGGCGGCTTCTCCTACAATCAGCTGTGTTGAACGCATCAATAGATTACGCACAAGTCTATAAGGGAGTTTACAGATAGCGCATGGTACAAATGACCCCAAATATCCACAGATCTTTTACACATGGAGAAGTTCCACTTTGAGCATCTTAGAATAATAACTGCCAAAGTCCTAGATGTGCTTCATGAATACCTTTTGTTTGCCCTCTTGAAAAGAATACTTCCACCTGCGTATAGGCCCGGTCACACAGAGAGGACGCATGGGGGACGCACGGCCAGCGCATTGGAAATTTGCAATTTGGGCCAGTGCGTTGTCGTTCGCTAGGCGTGCGTCATCATTCGTTACTTGTTCGTCGAGCGCACTGGGCCAACGCTGGACCAGCGCTATGCATTCGTCGTCATTCGCTGTGTGCGTCGTTTTTTTTTAGCATGCTCAAAAGTGTGCGCGGAGCTCGACGCATGAATGTACACGACAAAGGCACGCCATACATGCGTGGAGCGCGCTAGACCAGCGCCAGACATACGCGAAGCACACGCCCTGTATACGCACAGCGCGCTAGCTACACGCTGTGCATTTTTTGTTAGCTCGCTACCTTTTCCAAAATCATGACAAAAGTTAGGCACACGGCCTTTTCCGATTTCCAATGCGCGGGCCGTGCGTCGTAGAACGCGGTGCATGCGTGGACCATTCGTCCAGCGCGCTAGCATCACGCTGTGCATTCGTGAAAGTTGTTATCATGTGCGCTCTGCGTAAGGTCTGTATGCGCACTGTGTGCGCTCTGTATGCGCTCAGCGCGCTAGCAACACGCTGTGCATTTGGTGTCAGCTCGCTGTAGCTTCGACAAAAGTTGGGCGCACGACAACGCACTGGCCAAAATTGCAAATTTCCCATGCGCTGGCCGTGTGTTCCCCATGCGTCCTCTCTATGTGACCGGGCCTTATCATAGAATGTACCGTTGGTGCATAAATGAATAATGTTACATAACTTTCATGAGCGCGCATATCCAGTATTCAGCTCTGTGGGTTTTACCTTTTTGGTACAAATGACCTTTATCTGCCCATGCGCAGATTGTATCTGTAAACTCCCTTATTGAAATAACGTTAGATGGATATTTTAGAAGTCTTTGCTATCACGTGATTATAGAAAAGAAAGTAATGATTAGTAATAATGATAACAAACTAATAATTAAAAAAAAAAACAATTCAACCCAATGCCTTTGTGTGCATCGGGCATTACGCATGTGAGGACAACAGAGAATAATGAACCAAATAATTGTTCTTCTTGCAATGAATATATCATGTTTTAATGAAAGAGCACGTCAATACAGGGTAGGGAAGTCTGCTCAGTTTGAGACGAATCTCTACAAAAACAAATCAAAGAATGATATCATCTGTATGGTAAAAATATCACCATAATAAAAACGTGTTTATAAAGTGGTATTTTAGATGACCGTTTCAAAAACAGAAAGAAAGAGAGTGAGAAAGAGAGAGAGAGAGAGAGAGGGGAGAGAGAGAGAGGGGGAGAGAAAGAACGAGGGAGATTTGGGGGACCTTGTTTAGCACTTTTTGACAGTGGCGTAATGAGCAAAACAAAAACTGGGGGTCAGAACAAAATCCGCATCACCACCAAGTAGCATAATGCAGGGGCGGCGGAGCGTCTTATAAAATAGGGGAGGGGCATTCAAAGTTGTTTCAAGAACTTTTGGATCTTTATCAGAGAACTATAAAGCAGTATCATCTGCATGAAAATGAAATGCACATTTGTCAAATACAGAAGCTAAGTCATTAATAAATAATAATTGATAATTGGCTAAATCAAACTCCCCTTGCGTACCCGTTATTAATAGAATTTTCAACCGAAAATATATCATTTAAAAAAGTAGGGATTTTTCTTTTCGACAAATAACTTGAAAACCAGTCCAAAGATTTACTAACTATACCAAGCCGAGCTAGCTTAGATAAAAGTACCCGCGAATGACCATATTAAAGGCTTTATGTAAATTGATGAATACCGCCCTGGCGCTAGCCTATAATCTAGGCGGAGTGCCGAGCTTTTTTCTTTGCTGCTAGACTAACCCTAAGCAGAACGTCTGATACGGCGAGACTACGAACCGTGAGTCACGAAGCGGCTCACCGCCTATAATCACTGGTCTAGCTACTCAATATTCATATATTATATTCAAAATGGCGGATCTATGAATCATTCGACAGCCCTACCAAATAAGGTACACCTATGTTACGTTCGACCAATCAGATATAAGAAACCGCAACGAAAAAAGATTGCGCTCGTCCATTCTCCATACGTGTTTCTGATTGGTTGAGTTCATTTCGTATTCATGAGGTTTTTTCGTACGAAAAACTGCCACGGATTCAATGTCGATAATAAAAAAAACAACGACTAAAGCTAGACCAGTGATTATAGGCGGTGAGCCGCTTCGCGGCTCACGGTTTGTAGTCTCGCCGTATCAGACGTTCTGCTTAAGGTTAGTCTAGCAGCAAAGAAAAAAGCTCGGCACTCCGCCTAGATTATAGGCTACCCTGGCGCCGGTGTAATGTCCATTATCCATGGCTTGGAGCCGGTCGGTCGTCAGTTACTTCTAACAATAGGGATTTAAGATTTGCGTGGACTGATACGTAAGACGTCCATTCAAGGCAGTGCATTAAAAAGGACGTCGATCGTAGCAATCCCCATTGTCTTCGTGCGAATCTTAAAGTCCCTAATGCTGTTGTGGTTGAGTGCTTAGCTCTAAATCTTGATTGCTCTCTTACTGACATTTGATTTACTTGAATGAACTTAAGTAGCTGAATTTGGACGATTTTCTCGAGGATTTTAGAAATACAAAGAAGAAGAGAATTTGGTCTACAGTTATCAGGATTTGATTTGTTCCCTCTTTTTGTAGAGGGCTTATCTTAGCTACCTTCCATGATGTTGGCACTTTTCCATGATCTAGAATCGACTTATTGATTAGATATGTGATAGATTCGATCAACTCATTTACACATGTTTTAAGATCAATGTGGATATACCATCAACACCAACATATTTCTTATATTTTAACTTCAGAATTTCCTTTAAAACATCATCTTCCTTTACTGTATGTAAAATGAACAAATTATCAGGATTAGAAGTATTTACAGAATATCTTACATGCTGTTCGGCCAAATCATTGATTAAGTCATTCGCTACATTTGCACAATAACAAGAAAAATTATTAGCAGCAGTCCGGGTTTAATTAGAATATGGGACTAGTTGATGAAGAGCGGTCGTTTGTACTAAGCGATTTTAAAACCTTCCAAGATTGAGTTCCATTTTGACATTCATATGATTAGTCAGTATAATATTTCTGTTTAAGCTTTCGATTTTCTGATGTTACTTTATTCCTCAAACGGCTATATTCTTTCCAAATATTTTCATTTTTGTATATGATAACTCTCTCTTTAATTTTATCTCTATTTTTCTTCAAAGAAAAAAAATTGACTCATTTAACCAGGGGGATTGTTTTTTTCTTATTATTTTAGTTCTATGATATTTTAAAAATGAATCTATTTTAAAAGTTGTTTATACCTCCATGTACAACATAGTGTGCTACTACGCTAATGCAACAAAAACTGATCAGAAGAAACTCAATAAACCAGGGGAAATAGTTCAACGTATACTAGCGATAGATTTGCCACTCCTTGATAATCTGTACCAAGAGAGAGTTTCATCTAAATCAAGACAGGTTTCCACCCACCCACTCAACGAGAACTTTAAATTTAGCCGTTCAGGTATACGTCTGTGCGCACCGCGCACACAGAAAACCTGTTTCAGGCAATCTTTTGTTCCCAACGCCATTCACCACTTAAATGCACAAGCCCGGAGGTCTGGAACTCAAACGTAAATACTGGTCTAAATTTTTTTTTTTTTTTAATTTAATTTTCGTTAGGGCTCATAATACTGTAACGATGTACATTTGATATTATTGTATTTTGTATTCCTCTTGTATTATGTTTATTTGTACAAAGACTGTCAAACCAATGAAAAAAAGAATTTCCTGAAAGGGACAATAAATTTCAATTTAATTACGTACAAGTTGCTATGTCAGACATGCTGTAGCATCACTAGGAAGACAAAGGAAAATATATATGGAAGCATGCAATTATATTATGAACGTGTGCTAAACTGGGGGAAATTACATACCATTGTCTATTCTAGAATATTAGTTTAGTCTGACATGTCTGACATAGCAACTTATATGTTGCTATTGTTTGTGGTATTGTAACAGGTGGTCAACTTTGGCAAAGTTACATGCCACTTTCTCAAGTTAGCTCATTAATGACTGACAGATGATGTCATAAGGGGAATGAGATCTGGAGGTTTTTTTGGGGGTGGAGCTTTGAAGTTTGAAAAACAAATATTTCAACACATATTTAAGAATCTATAAAACAAATTCAGAAGTTTACATATCAACATATAACGGTCTAAATAGAATTAATACATTCGCTGGGATTGGTTAGTAAAAGTGGAGTTAGAACCCGTGAGGGGGGGGGGGGGGAGGGGGGCAAACAGTAACGAAAACGACAAGAGCAGAGAGAGAGAGAGAGACCTTTTATACTTTACCTAATCTTTCTGGGCCCCGTTCCTAGAAACCGTCATAAGTCTAACTTCTTGACTATCCCATTGAAACGTGTTATAGGATTAACTCGTGTTTCAATGGGATAGTCAAGAAGTTAGACTTATGACGGCTTCTAGGAACGGGCCCCTGCTTCTTTTTACAGGCACCACGGTCGACCGCTTTACGAGAAAGATTAAATACCTCGAGTCCTTTCAAATCTCTGAAGGAGAGACTCCTTTTGTTAACATGTGACTACCGGTATATAAACGCACCTCTTTCAAGAATTAGCTACACTTTTCATCGCTACATCGTATCCAAAGGTCCTGGTTGAATCGTGCTATGATGGAAGGCTACACTATACTCTCACTTCTTCTCTGCCTCAGTGCGGCAAGCGCCGCTTCCAATTATGGTGAGATATGCATTTCTTTCATTCACTTTTCATTCATTCATTTACTGCCAAAATGTCAGATACGTTGCATTTCATCATGACAAAAACTATTACAATTAGGGCCAACTATTAGTTAAATGGAGACGCGATAGCTCAGTCGGTAGAGCATTGGTCCTCGTTATCCGGTGACCCGGGTTCGAAACCAAGTCGATGCGCTAGTGCCCTTTGGTAAGGCATTAGGGACTTTTAGATTTGCACGTCGACAGCTTTGACTGCAACGTGTGACGTCATTTTAAGGCACTGTGCATGCGTCACGTCGTCTCAGTCGGCGACAGAGAATGCGTTGGTGATAATAGTCAGGTTTTGACTGATTGCCATTACAACAAAAAAACAACAACAACAACAACAACAACTTGATTTTCCTAAATCTAGTACATACATACATATTGATATTTATATAGCGCCTTGCCGCCTTTACATAAACATGCTCAAGGTACTAGTGTGCCGCGTGCGCATACAATATACAGTTCCTCAGGTAGACACGGGAACATACCTTCCCTGCTATTATGTAAAAATGTGCAGAACAGGTGTCACATGCATATTCACCTGTTCTACACATTTTTACATAATAGCAGTGAAGGGATGTTCTTTTGTCTACCACAGCAATTGTTGAGGGTAGAATGAGGAAATGTATATTTTGTCATCTTTCTTTGTCCGTCATGTTCATAGTGTTACTTCCTGCATGCATGTATATCGTCGAGTGCAATCTAAAAGATTTCTAATTGTAGTCAACATGGGCAGTTGAGTACGTTGACACGCATGATCAGTCGGCGTTCGTCGTGTTCTCGTCCACTCAATCTAAAAGTCCCTAATAATCCTCATTACCAGGTCCATAGGAGAGGACCTAAAGCCGTCGGTCTTCTGGTTGCTTACTAATGAGCATTTATTGCTTTCTTAGCTGTCGGGTAAAATAACCACCACTCTCACAAAGCTTGTCAAGTTTGGCCCCATTTAAATCTCAATAATTTATTACATTAAATCAATCATTAAGAATAATTAAGAATAATCAGTGAATAACAAAGAAGTATTTTAGGGTTTGCACTAACCTAGACAATCTAGAATGAATTTTGAAATTTTGAAACGCTACTATAACTACTAATATTATCGATTATTTAACAGCACTAAAAACAAAATTACTATAGCGCTAAGAAATCACACAATTTGAAGAGAAACACAAAATTGATATGTTATCAAGTAACATACAATTTTAATATAAATTTGGCGATTGCACTCTCTTTTTAATGTAGTGGTACGCTGATTTGGGCAAAGCATTGATCTAAGGGAGTGCTATAGCAACAGAGGAGTTGGGTTAATTTGATCATTTGTATGGTTGTTGGTTTGACTTTGTATACATCTAAAGCTGAACAGAATTAACTTTGTTTCCGATAGTATGCCAGGAACGGGTAAACAACTCCTGGACCTGAAGTTCTGCATTAGATTTACAGTTGTTCATTTCCGATAAACACGTTGGACTTGAATTCCTGCATTAGATTTACAGGTGTTTATTTCCGATAAACACGTTAGACAACAGACTTTTTTCTGGGGATCTGACATTCTCTCGGGGCTGAAAGAACAGATTATTAAACAGTCTCCTCATTTAACTACGTCGGCAGCATATGATCACCGAGGATGCCAGATGTGAGACAGAGATCAAGAGAAGCATAGCTCTCGCTAAATCTGCATTTTCAAAGTTGGGCAAAATTCTGACAAATCGGACAATGAGTGTGAGGACCAGAATAAGATGGAGACGTCCCATTTTGTGTATTTTAGAATAATCACGGCCAAATTGATGGAAGTGCTTCATGAATACCTTTTCTTTACCCTCTTGAAAATAATGATTCGACCTGTGTATCGTAGAATGTATCGCCGATGGATAAATAAACGATTACACAACTTTCACGATCACCTAGCAAGTAGTAGTCGCGGTGGGTTTTACAGTGTTGTACAAATGACTTTTATCTGCCCATGCGCAGATAGTGTCTCCGAAATGGCTAATTCCGAAGATACGTTTATTTCGGACGTCCACAATTCTAAAAGTTCGTTAATCCGAAAGTTGAATAACTTGAAGGTTCATTATTCTGAAGATGAAATAAGGCCCGATCTGCCCCCCTCCCCCCCACCCCTGGATCCGCGCCTGGTCATGCTTGTCCAGAATCTGGCCGATTCTTTATATTCCCTACACACTTGATTCAAGCCGCCGAAGATGGCGTTATCAACGAACTCATAATTATGCTCACCAGCCCTAATTTAATGATCATGTCATCTTCGGCTGACAGCAAGTAAGTAGCGGGAGGCCCCATATATTGCGTTGGTGTGGTGGAGATCAACATTAGATATGCCAGATTCTGGACTAAGGCAGGGCTCCCACTTAGCCGAGTTGGAACCTCGAGTTGTGGCGAGCTGGCGCGATCTCATGGCAAGCAGTTTTATCATTAAAACATATTAATATCAAGAATTCAATTCGTATATCACGAAGTCGAATTCTTGATATCAAGAATTACCATAGCTTTACAACGTAAAATTATTTCTTGATATCAAGAATTGATTTCTTGATATCAATTAATAATAAAACGGCTTGCCATAAGATCGCGCCAGCTCGCCACAACTCGAGGTTCCAACTCGGCTAAGTGGGAGCCCTGCTTTATCCAATGCATGCAGGGTCTATTGAGTATAGTCTCCTAGCTCAGACCCTCTGTTATTCATTACAAATGGCAAGGGTTTGTGCTTAGCCTGCAAACTATCCCCGAATGTTATCTTTGTCTTTTTGTGTGACTTGCATTTGTCTCCCTATGCTTCTTTTAGATGTGCGGCTTACCGGGCCAGATAACAACGAGCGAATGGGACGGGTAGAGATCTCTTGGAACGAACAATGGGGAACAGTTTGCGACGTTGGCTGGGATATTGAGGACGCTAATGTTGTCTGCAAACAGTTGGGCTTCCCTGATGGTGCTGATCCTGAGAGACTGTACAAGAAATTCGGCAAAGGCTCAGGAACGATTTGGGTCGCCGGCATGGACTGTACCGGCAAAGAGGCTCAACTCAAGGAGTGCCATGTGAGAAATAATGGGGCATTCGGTTGCACTCATGACCAGGACGTAGGAGTGTCATGCCTAGGTTAGTGTCATTAGAGACTTTTAGATTTGCACAACAACAACGTAGATTGCTACGGTCGACGTCCTTTTAATTCACTGCCTTGAATGGACGTTACATGTATCAGTCCACGCAAGATTTGCGTGGACTGATACGTGTGACGTCCATTCAAGGCAGTGCATTAAAAGCACGTCGATCGTAGCAATCCACCTTTGTCTTCGTGCAAATCTAAAAGTCCCTATTAACCCGTTGGCTACTGCATTATTGTATTCCCGTAGGCTTAACACAGGGACCACCACGTTCCAGTAAACAATGGGTTAATTGACCATTTATTTGCCAAGAGGGAGAGAGGGTGCACAGGAATGGGGCGCAACAAACTCATAAGGGGTCAAAGGGCGAAGAAAAGTCCTCTCGCGGCGCTAATGTCTTTTGGCCTGACATTAATCTAAATTTGCCACCTTCCACTCAGGTGTAATAAATGGGTGTACCGTATACCCCTGAATGCTTTGAACCCTCTTAGGGCAGTTGGTATAAAGCTAGGGTGATGATGATACTTTGTAGCCGCCATGAAATCTGTTTTCATTCTTCGCTTAGTATTTAAAAGGGAGCATACATTTAAGGGAACATACTGACTTGTAGTGGGGGGTGTTAGGGCTAAAAAAGGGGTTGTTTGGTGCAGATTCTTCTAAAAGCACCAAATTTGGCCCAGAGGTAGATTATACCATACTTTTACGATTTCTGCCGGACGCCAAGAAGGGCACCCTCTGGGTATGCCGTATTGGGCAAATCCAAAATGGCCGCCATCTGAGTTAAAGGTCAAGCGTAGTTCCAAAAAAAAAGCGCTTGTATGATAATAGTTTATATATTTATGGGGTTTTGGGGGTCACAGAATCTGATTTTGATGTTCTTTCATCGATTTGAGGTCTCCTAGGGGCTGCCATATTGGTCATATTGGTCAAATCCAAAATGGCCGCCATCTGATAGTTACAGGTCAAGTGTAGTTACGAAAGAAAATGGGCTAGTATGATAAAAGTTTATATATTTATGGGGTTTTTCGGGGTCAGAGAATACTATTGACCTGTTACTATCAGACGGCGGCCATTTTGGATTTGACCAATATTACCAGTATGACCCGAGGAGATCTCAAATCGATGAAAGAACATCATAATCAGATTCTCTGACCCAGAAAACCCCATAAATATATAACATTTTATCATACTAGCCCATTTCCTTTCATAACTACACTTGACCTGTAACTCAGATGGCGGCCATTTTGGTTTTGACCAATATTTTGACCAATATGGAATGTAAAAAGCACAGAAATTTGTTAAACCTTGACCTTGACTGATGACGTCATCTAGGCGCCATTTTGTAAAATTTTTCGAAAATCAACTCATGATCATATCTTCATAACCAAAAGGTATTTCTCATTCATATTTATCATGATCAAGGTCAATATCCGTCCGGTCAATTGCAGGTCAAATAACGCGCGCGTGCGCGTACGTCTGCGCGTCAATGCGCGCGTAAAATTTTGAAATGCTCAAAATCGTCTCAAAATCATTTTGCATACGTTTTAGGCCATTCTAAGCATTTTATAAAAAATCGCACACACGCGCATGCGTGCGCGTTTTCGCGCATAAAACTGTTGCACAACATAGAATCGCCATTTTTTTTCTTTCATAATATTCCACATATTTTTATAAACAAATTGATAGCATGTTTATCTCTTTATGACTATTAATGACGGAATGATCGACCGTTAAACATAAATTTCTGTGCGCGCGAGCTCTTGTAATACATTGCATATATGGGCAAAAACATGCCTATGCAAAATCCATTGTAGCTCTTTAGGATGCAAGGTGACCCCAATTTGTTTTCATATTTTGATTTAGTATGAATCGGAGATATGATATCATGTCTCATTTGACCCTCAATTAACTCATGACGTCATCATAATGGCCTTCGAACTCAAAATTTCAATTTGCATATTATGACGTCAGCATATTTTTGGAAAATTGATTGTATCTTTGTAAAAATTGATCGATTTTCTTCAAAATTTTGATATGTTCTAGCTGAGACAATTTTCTACATATCCAGTCTCCACTATTTTTCATTTTGAGAAAGGCATCATGGCGTATTTTTGCGATTAAAGGAGGCATGTCAATTTTTCACATTTTGCGTGTATTCTCTATGGGACATGACTTTTTCTCAAAACTTGATTCTACATTCCCGTCTTTCGCGAGCATTATCTACGTCGTTGTAGCTTCATTTAAACTGAACTTCGAGTATGTTGTAGCTGAGACAAAAAGCTATCTCAGATGTACCCTTAATTTTGACTCAATTTTTTGTTGGATCAGCCCACCTATACTTGTTCCAAACAAGTATTACAAATCTAGTTATTATTATTATTCTATTGAATGAAAGAATAATATCTTTTTCTAAATACAAATAATGCAACAAGAATGAATTGAATTTTTGTTTATATCTCCCTTTTCAGGTTGGGACTCATATGGAAAAAAAAAGGAAAGGTAAGGATCATTTTTAAAGACAGATTTGAATTAAATGCACCATGTGTGTGTACGTATATATATATATATATATATATATATATATATATATATATATACACAGTGCGTCCCAGAAAAAACGAAACCGAGAATTGTCGATGTTTTATCATAACTTAGTTACATTTATAATCAATAAATGACACATATTTGGAAAGCTTAGATCATCCTTTTTCATTTGATGCAACTCATATGATGCATATTTCACGCATGAGTGAGTTAAATGAATTCGAAGAGAGGAAACCAAAAAGTAATTTGGCGGACGGTATCTGAATTTCAAAGAGAAAATCACATTTCTAGAAAGCCGAGTTTCTGCCCTTTCATATGACACCTCAGTCAGGAAAATGAGTTAGGAATAACAAAGTTCTGCTTGTTTATTAAAGGAGTGCTTGCATTTCCATAATTTTAGTAAACGAATTCATTTTCACTGGCTACCTGCCGTAGAAACAAACGGATTTAACAAAAGACTTAACTCCGTTTCGTTGACAATCAAGCGTAGACGAAAGACTTTATGCATGGCTCACGCTGGCAGTAGGAGTATCATCATCATCATCATCATTATCATCATCATTATCAAAGTTTTTTTCTTCTTACAAACAGGTGGCTGCTAAAGAACGATCCGATGACAAAAAAGATGCTAACTTGAAGAAGAAAGATGTCCTCCAGGCCCTATATGATCTCCTGGTCGAACTCGACGACAAATAGAAAATATAAGGCAGCGGACACACTGAACTTGGGACGGACTAGGAGCTGTTAGATATATAGAGCCTTTTTTTCTGCACGTTCGCTCGGCCGTTTATTCATTCGCGGTTGGGTCTGGACGAGCAGGTGATGTCACTTCATATTGACGCGTGATCGATATAGTCAAAAACATTTGCCCCCAAAATATACTGAAAACATGATCCCTTTTGCACAAGAACTGGTACAAAGACGAGGCTCTAGAAAAAATGTGTATGTCTAACTTATCGGGTACACAGTTTAAAAAGTAGCCTGTTTTCGAGGAAAAAAATGAATATACTCATTTACATGTTCGCGAACAAATATGACCCCTTTTCATCAAATGTTATGTTTTTTAAAACAAAATCAACTCCGCGAACATTCCCGCAAATCACCCATTTTACGCGAAATGTATAACTATCTTGTGCCGCACACGACATCGATAAGAGTGATACCACCGCTAGAGACTTAACATATTTTGACAAAAGTTGGATTCTAGGGCCGTCCACTAGTTTGTACCCCCTAAATGACGGATTGCCTAAATGTTATTAACCCTATAGGTTTCTAACCACTCTGCTAACTGCTTTAACCCACATTATAATTCCTTTGAAGAGAAACCATCTTTATCAGGCCTCGTTCAGAAATGATGCGGCAAAATTGGGCGTTTTTCTTTTGTTATGTTGACGTAAAATGTAAAGAGCGTCACTTTTTCGTATCCCATAACACATAGCTCGGTAAAAACGCGAAGCAGTATTTTTTTTTAAATTTATGCGGCGGTTTACCGTGTCATATTTAAACGAGCCTGTATAAAAACAGAATTCTCTATCCCTCTTTCTTTCTCCATTTCTTTCTGTTTTTTAAAGTTCATCTAAAATACATTATATAAACAGGGTTTTATCATATTGATATTTTTTACTATATAGAAGATATCATTCGTTGCTTTGTTTTTGTAGAGGTTAATCTCAAACGGACATGATTATGTAACTCACCAGATTTTGCTACCCTGTATTGACTAACTCTTTTATTAAACATGATATATTCATTGCAAGAAGAACCATTATTTGCTTTACTATTTTCTGTTGTCCTCATATGAGTAATGATTGATGTACACAAAGGCATTGGGTTGATACAAATGTTTTTTGTTTTATTCTGATTATTTGTCATTGTTATTAGTTTATCATTATTATTATTTATCATTGCTTTTTTTGGAATCACGTGATAGCAAAGACTTCTAAATTATCAATCTAATGTTATTTCAATAGACTTATGCGTTCAACACAGCTGATTGTATGGAAAACCGTCATGCGTATATTACTCCCTGCTTCAAACCGTGAATAGGGGTGCAAAATAAAGCAAATTTTGAAAACGGCAATGTCTCACACAAATAGCCCTAGAATAAAAGTTCATGGTTTCATCTTAATAGGGTAGGAATTTTTTACTCAGGAAAACAATTATATATATATTATATACACACAAATACGCACGCACGTATACACACGCGCGCACACATTTAAGATGGATGAGCGGGTTGTGAGTAACGGTGGTGGTGCCTTTCTTTCACTGTCCATACGTTGTGAGAGCTTACACCGCATTGCTGATAGTCTAGTTCTAGACCCTTTATTGAATTTTGTTATTCGCCGACTATAAGCGTTAAGCCGAGTCGCGTTCTCGGGCATCGCGCATTCGTCAAGGATCGCGCGATCACTCGGCTTAACGCTTATAGTCGGCGAATAACAAAATTCAATAAAAGGGTCCAGAACTAGACTACATTGCTGAGGGAGTAAGGGGCATCTTGAGATGATGTTTCGCTGTATAAATGCGACGTGATTCATCTCGATATGAAACGCGGTATGAGCTCTCCAATAGTATGATCAGCGAAATGAAAACTTATGAAAACTGAGAACCGCAAAATGCTTCGAAAACAGAGAATGACGGACAGGGAGTATCGAGCCAACATTGCTCAAAGAAAGGAAGTGCGTGCAAAAGGCATGAGGAGATCTGGCAAAATGGTTATATAAACGAAGTGTGTCAGTAGATTGATGTAATTGAACATGGAGAGGAGTGGATTTAAACTGTCACCAGAGAAGACTACGGAAGACCCGTAAGCGTGTGTGTGAGTGTGAACTATAAGAGAATTATAAAAAGAGGGATGGGGATAGTACGCGTTTTGTGAAGCAGAGATAGAAAGAGAGAGAAGGAAAGAAAGGTAGTGGAAGCGATTGAGACACAATGTGTGTGCGTTCGTGTGTATGAGAATGAGAGAGAGAGAGAGAGAGAGAGAGACTGTATGTCTTTGAGAAATGGACTTTCATCGTGAGTGAAGTTATCAAACATGCTAATTGACCTGAGTATACGAAGTAGGAAGTCTTGCTGTTACGCATCGGTCATAACTGATTGTATGTTTAATATTTACCTAGCTCCCACTTATAATGTTTACAATTAAACAGAGCCTGGGAAACGAGTCAGCAGTGATGGGCAGATGTCATTATCAACTGTCTTGGTCGCTGATGGAGGAGGGGAAGAGGAGGGGAAGGAGGAGGGGAAAGGGGAGGCGGTATATATTGTATGAAGCTCGTTCAAAATTGGTCCTAGCTCTTTTCCTTGTTTGCCTCGTTAATCCAATAAAATATTGATATTTTGAAAATTGAAAATTGTTGTTGGTCATAGGATCAGAGCCAGGATCTTGTGAAAAGAAGGCAAGGGGGGGGGGGGTATGGGGGTTGCAGGGGGCAAAGACAAAATATAAATCACAGGAATTAGATACATTTTGATAAAGAATGAAATGGAAAAGATGTTGATATATGGTTATATGTCAGTATCTCTTCAAGCAAAACGCTCACTCTTTCTTTTAAAAACGTTAAACGAATATCTTTTATTTATTTTTTATTAAATCAAATTAAACTTGTTTTCACCTAAAATCCTGCGGTTCTAATGTGCCTCAGATGTTTTTTTTTTTAACAAACTGTATCTCTACTGCAAGAAGTTACCCGATAAATGATTGTAATAATAATAATAATAATAATAGGCATTTGTATAGCGCGGTCTATCTAGACAATTCTATTCCGAGGCGCATAAGAAAAATAGAAAGAATGAGAGAGTTTGGATGAGTTTCATGCTGCCAAGTACAGGTATTGTTAAAAAAGATAAGATTTTAGCTTGGATATAAAGGTCTTTAAGGAAGTAATGATTCTCAAATTAAATGGTTAATTATTCCAAAGACAAGGTGCTTCAGATGAAAAAGCCCTTTCACCACAGGCTACCCGTGTCTTTGGGATCTTGAGAAGATGCTGGTGTGATGATCTTAGACTTAGAGCTGGTGTATAAGGTATATTATATTAAACAAGGTTTTGTAAATAGTTACTTATCCGTTTACAACTTTCCATGTGAGGAGAAGGATTTTGAATTATATCCTGTTGCTGATTGGTAACCAGTGCAGCTTTTTGAGAACAGGAGAAATGTGATCATATTTAGATGTCCCTGATAAAACCGTGACAGCTGTTTTCTGAGCATGTTGAAGTTTGTCAAGATTGCGTGAAATGATATTGAAAAGAAGAGCATTGCCAATTTTTAATCGAGATAAAACAAATGCATGTATAAGCATAGCAGCAGACATTGCAGTTATTACCCCTTCCCCCTTTGGGTTACATACTATCCCATTTATGTTGTTTATCACAATACCGTGGAAGCCATTCATTCAAATCGTAATGGAACGTATCATGAAATAATCGGGTTTATAAAGTACATATTTATTGTTCATTTTAACAATGGAAAGTCATCGTATTAACATGGTTTATAAGATGATGACGTGGATCCTGATCAAATGATTGATTAAAAGCGTACACGTGACCAGGCATTCATTTTGCCTAACGCGTAATCCCGCGTAATTTGGGTAATGACCGGTCATTATCCAATGGTAATGACCGGTCATTATCAAAATCACGTTAGAAAACATCATTTTATATAAAAATAAAAAAAAACGTAATCTAATAAAACAAATAATACACATCATTTTGTTCGGGTATTGGTAAAATTGCCCACACTCGGTACCTTCAAAACAGTCCAAACGTCCTCAGCTATCGACTCGGGCGTGTTAGACTGTTCCAAAGGTATCTTGTGTGGGAAATTCTTACTAATGCCCTCACTGGTCTTATTTGTATATTAATGCACTATATCAGTCGATCATTACCATTCAATCTTCTTTATCAAATTAAGAAAAATAATCATTGTTATGTTTTTCGTAATGCAATATATAACGCTCTTTTTAACAATGAAATAAAGTATACAAAAAAAAAAAAAAAAAAAAAAAAAAAAAAAATGATAATAGCATTATGTTGTTATTATTACCATGATAATTATGATTCTTGTTATGATTATTATGATCAGTACTAGTTATATTAATATAATAAATAGAAAAAGTAGTAGCAGTAGTAGCAGTAGTAGTAGTAGTAGTAGTAATATCATTATGTCGTCCCCATCAACATCCTCATTATCATCATCATTATTGTTATCATTATAATACTCCTTCCAAAACAAACAAACGAAAACGTACCCTTATTGTATACAGCAATCGTATATTAAATTCTCATCGACGTAGGCCTACCATAATGAGAACAAGGGTACTTAAAACGAACTCTTCATTTAACATGAAATTGTGGACTTCAAACATGCCCGAATGAAGACTGATCTCAAATACCGATTTGATTACTCAAGAATGACGTCAGTAATAGTAGTGGAAAGTCAGATCGAATTTCAAAATCAAACTCTGCAATTTATGACTTTATATTTGCACTGTGATTCTCTGTCTTTATCCATCCTTAATACAACACGCACTTGTGTTTGTCTTTTGTCTTTTCTGTCTTAATGCAAACAAAATATCTGATCTTAAATTAATATAGATTTTCATGGGCGCCAAATATATTTTATTTAAAAGAAAACAACCTTTGTAGCCGCAATATATCTCTAGAATATTTAAAAGAGATGATTTAGATGTAGCACCGGTTGATTCTAAAATCTTTTAAGGGGGGGGGGGGGGGGGGGACTGTACACTAATATGCCTCAGTCATACATATTTTGCTTGAGTATTGCCGCGTATTTATGGCAATCCGTTTTAATATTTTACCTTTTTCTTGATATCAAGAAATGATTTTCTGTTGTACAGCAATGGTAATTCTTGATATCAAGAAATATGAATACATATTGCTCCGATTGTCTCATTTTCGCTCGCGTGAACATTGCCAGCACAAACCACTGACCTCTACCTCCTACACGGATCATCGCACATTCCCATTCACTATACGTTACGTACTAAAAGGCTGTATTGTCTGACCGTTCATGAATATTCATGTTTTTGCTAAACTCGGCAAAATGTTTGCTTTTACTAAATGGAAAAATTACGGTGGGGGGTTGGATGAAATGGACAAAACGAAATAGGCAGAAGTGATCTGTGATAATTCATGCTTTTTATGTTTCGTGTGCTCGACCTATAATCTTCAAATCGCTTGGTAAACTGAGTCCAAAGTTAGACTTGTTTCACATGTGTATTATAGGCAATGACGAGCTTGCAACCTATTTTGAAAAATTACGGTGGGTGAACTTTCAAAAGTCAATGAGACATGAGGGCTCCAATGAAAGAGCTAGTGATAACGTACGTCGGGGTGGATGTGCTTTTCGTTTAAACAAAAAATGAATTTTTAACGATTTTTAAAAAAAAAACGTCCATAGGCTAACATGTTAGGCTGCTGAATCTGACCATGCTCTGACGATAGGGGGCGTTGTGAAATGAGACTAAACGGAGCCATATGAAATGTTAAAAACGACTTGCCAAAAATACGCAGCAATACGCAAGCCAAATACGCAAAAGTGTGACTGAGGCTTAAGGCCTCCCTACGAAGGTTTACGCATTATCAGAATGAATCAATTCCTTCCATGTTTTTCAGGACCTCTGTGTGATCTTTCTCAACCACGTGGCCGGTTCTTCTATATCTTCTAGTTTTCTTCGGAACATGCAGCGGAAAACCTGTCGAAAAACAGGATGCTTCCACCCAAACAAAATCGGATTTAAACAGCTAGATAAATTAAAAATGGCGAAGCAGTACGTGCCGAGGAGGGCGCTCTCACTCACAATCAAAGAGAGTGACAATGGAATAAAACACAGTGCAAAGACACACAATACAAGTACCATGTTCTTAGTGATTTTCGACTCCAGTTCTAAATTACGATCTTGCGCGGGTACAGGTACTGCGATACGCGGCGATTCGCTGGTATCTGGGATGACGCTCACGCTCCTCTCGCCTAGCTGCGCAGAACTCTCTCTGCGCGTGCTGTGGCTACGCAGCTGTCTAAAATGGCGTCGAAGGAACAGATATATCTTGGCGTATATAACAGCCACAGTTATTAACAGCACCAGCAGGAAACATCCACACATCGTGTTGAATTCAGGACTATCATAGAATAAGCATATCGTATCTTCATTTAGCCCTGCAGTAGCGAGATCAAGAAGCACAAATAGAAGGACTAAACTGAGAGGAAATAAAAAGCTGACGCTGATCATGACAGCCATGTTTGGCTTCGAAAATACGCGTTTAAAGGTATGTGGTTGCTTAGTGATGAGAACAAAGCGACACAACGCGATGAGGGTCATGATGAACGAGCTTGCTCCGAGAACGGTTGTAGCCACGGGTCCGACGATCTTGCACATCACCATGAAGGCCTGGGTACGAACCCCAGCTAGAGCGATGACCTGCACAATGAGGGTCGAAGAGTTGATGATATCGGAGATACTCAGGATGACGACGAACGCGTTGGTGACGTTGCGAAGCTTCCTGGAAAAGAACACGGCGGTGATTAGGAAAGTGTTCCCTGAGATTCCCAAGGCTGCCAGGATGGCGAAGATAGTAGCAAGAGCAATTTTATGACCTTCCATTTTCCAACTGTGTCAAACCATTCCTGGACCCTGTTTCACAAAACTCGATATCAATAACAAGTTACAAGCTACTGTTATAAGCTACTGAAATAAAGGCATCTGATTGGCTGAGAACAAATTTGTCATAGAAATTTAGCATTTGTTATAGATAAAAGTGTTATGAAACGGGCCCAAGATCAGCAACTGTAATCCTTCCAATCAATAGATCGTCATAATAGCGTAACAATGTTTGACATTCATGATGTAGAGAAACCATGTATTGTTCTAAAGAAATAACTGAAACGATTATCCATCCCACTTATAACGGGAATTGTTAAAATGATCCAATATGACATCTTTTGGATCATCACGAAATTTAGAGTAAACAATTGCCTGTTTTAGAAAAAACAGGGTATGCAATTTCATCCGTGTATACAATGTAAATATTTGATGTGTTATGACTGATTAATCGCGCAATGGTAGGTTCGCTTCTGTCTCCTCAATCATTTATTTGTGCTGAATATTGCTAAGCACTCATCAAGACACTCCAATACACTGACTGAGAGACTCTGTAGATCGAACGAAGATAACAACAATGTAGCAAGGTTCATGACCCTTTCCTCAACGGATAAATCTTTACGATAGTATGAAGTTAATTCAGTCTCTATAAAGGAATTTTTCGTTGATGCTGTAGCTGATTTCACTGTGCTGTTGCGTCGGTATATATAAACGACGACTGGAATTAAACTGTCAAGTAAGTCTTGTAAAATTAACTCTCTGAAAGTTGCGCGATTGAGCTGCTATATGTCTACGTTTAGAAGATGACCCTTCCCAGCTGTTCATCATGTTCAAAGTGTAGATATGAATCTTGGCCTTGCGGTCGAGATTCCGGGTTCAGAGTGACGTGTCAACTCGAGCTCATCAAGAACTAAGTAAGGTTCAATCTGTATGTTAAATGAGAGATAACAAGAACAAAGTTTAATTCAAGAAAATTAAACGTCTCTTCGTTATATCTATGAAGATTTGTGATTAGTGGACTCAATCGGCATAATTGATATATCGTACAATGATCTACGGACGTTCATTACAATGTCATGTAACAAGTGACGAATGCCATTCGGGTCTAGGGATTTGGGCAAGTATGAGTGATTCAAACAAAAAGTTACATCAATGACTCGCAATGCATTTGCGAGAGACATTAGAAAGTTAAAAGATAATAAACTTTAATGTTGCTACAGCTACATGAACAAATGTACATTTTCATTGAGAAGAGCTGCCCGTGAAAGGAGATGGGGTTTCGTTGGCAACGACAACATAGGTGACAGGCACCTTGGCAGAGATGGGGTCCACATCAATAAGGCAGGACAAGCTGTTCTTGCCTCTAATCTACGCCACTTTATTGAGCGACCTCGAGGGCCACCTACACCTACTCAGCAAACGTCCTACGCTGAAGTTGTTGGATCTTCAACGCAGGATTTCGAGATGATTGCTCCGAGAGGGAGGCTAAAGTCTGCACCTGCTCTTCCAATGTTTCCACTGACAAAAGCTCAACAGGGGTGGAACGAGCATCTACGTCTCGTCATGGCAACATGCAGTTAAACTCTGTCTCTGGTACTGGCATACTACATCATAATCTTCAGGATCAATCTCATGAACTGAATAAGAGTAACATTAAACAGTTGGAAGGTGGTTCAGTTCCTCCGTTTAGAAACAGGGGCTTAAAATTTGCCCATTTGAATATTCATAGCTTAGTTGCTAAGATTGACGAACTTAGATTACTTCTGAGAAATGCATCATTTGATGTTATTGGTTTAAATGAAACATTTTGCGACTCCATGATTGATGATTCTGAATTGTATATAGATGATTATATTTTATTGCGTAGAGACCGTACGAGACATGGTGGTGGTGTGGCTGTATATATATCCAAGAGGTTCAATTATAAAAGAAGGGATGATTTGATTTCTTCTACTTTAGAATGCCTTTGGTTTGAATTGCATTATCCAAATAAGTCTCCCATCCTGGTTGGAGAGTTTTACAGACCTCCAAATTCTCACGTTGATTTCTTTGAAGAATTAGACGGAAATTTGGACTCTGCTCTCTCGGAAGATATGAGCTGTATTATTTTAGGTGATTTCAATTGTGATTGTATGCCACACCAACTTGATCTGAATGCTGAAAAGTTAATGTTTTATACAAATATGTACGGGTTAAGTCAGCTAATTGATACTGCCACAAGAGTTACAAATACCTCTTCTACTTTAATTGATTTGATATTTGTATCAGACAAGGAACTTTACAATGAATGGGGAATATTTGAAACTAGCATAAGTGATCATTATTTGGTGTATACGGTTCGCGATTTTAGTGCAAAGATCCATAACAAATCCGAATACGCAGAATTTCGCTCGTTTAAAAATCTTGACGAGGAGAAATTTTACAGTGAATTGAGAAGTACTCCTTGGCAGGTCATAAAAGATATAGATAATGTTGATGTTGCGTGGGATATGTGGTTGACTCTATTCAATAATATAATCAACAAGCACATACCAGTATGTAAAAAGCGGATAAGAAAAAAGGCATGTCCATGGATATCTGACGAGATTGTTAAGCTTATGACGGAACGTGATAAAGTTCTCAAAGCTGCTAAAGCTAACAAAAGTGATGATCTTTGGGACACCTACAAATATCTAAAGAATACAGTTATTCATCTCATGAGGAAAAGAAAAAGAGAATATAATGCAGACCAGATCTCGCAAAATCATAACAATAGTAAGCAAATGTGGAGATGTTTGAGAAACCTTGTGCCTAAGTCATTACCTATATCTCCCAATAGCATAAATGTTGATGGTGCTAATGTGTCAGACAATGCAAATATTGCTGAAGCTTTTAATGACTTTTTCATTTCTAATGCTACTAAGATTACAAAGGACCTGCGAAGGAATAAGTGTCAACTGAGAGTAGACGAGGACAATAATATTGGTCCAACTCATTCGCAATTTAATTTGAATTTGATTACTGAGGATTTTGTATTGAAACAGATTGATAATCTGAGTATAGATAAAGCAACTGGTGAAGATCACATCAGCTGTAAACTTTTAAAGATGACGAAGAATGTTATCGCAGAGTCTCTTTGTGATATCATTAACAAATCCCTGTCTACAGGAGTTGTTCCACGTGAATGGAAAAAGGCTCGGGTAGTACCAATATTCAAATCTGGAGATATTTCTTCTTTGAATAATTACCGTCCCATTTCGATATTACCTATCGTGAGTAAAATTATAGAAAGGGCCGTCCACCAACAACTCAGTGAATTCTTGGACGTGAATAAATTATTACACCCTAATCAGTCTGGTTTTAGACCTAAACATTCAACAGCTACTGCCCTTGCAAAACTTGTAAATCAATGGTCGTTGAATATTGATAACAAAGAAATTTCTGGAGTTGCCTTCATAGATCTTCGTAAGGCTTTTGATACTGTTGACCATGAGCTACTTCTACATAAACTAGCTTGTATAGGTTGTAGTAATAGGACTATTTATTGGTTCAAATCATATTTAGGGGATCGACAACAAGTGACCCAATTCAAAGGAGCCAAGTCGCATCCATCAACCATCAAATTAGGTGTGCCACAAGGTTCAATTCTTGGTCCCCTTTTATTTTCAATATATGTTAATAGTCTACCTGAATGTACTCCTGAAGGTATCATAGATATGTATGCTGACGATACGACACTTACCGTCAGTGCAAATGATGCAACTGTTGTGGAAGAAAAATTAACTGTTGCGTTAAACAGAGTCATGGCATGGATTAAGGAAAATCGTCTTGTTCTTAACACTGAAAAAACTTGTGTCATGTTAATAGGCTCTCCTGCTAATCTCAAGAAAATTGAATCTTTCACCATTTCATTAAACGGCAATTTGATCAAAAGAGTTCAATTCACCAAATGCCTAGGACTTTTGATAGATGAAGAATTGAAATGGTCTAAACAAATCGAAAACGTAAGTAAACTTACCCAGAAAAACATTAGCATGATAAAGAGAGCAAAGAGTTTTTTGCCTCAAAAATCCTTAAAGTTACTTTATAACAGTCTAGTGTTGCCACGATTAGATTACTGCTCTGTTGTATGGTCGAACCGATTTCATTCTCATACAACTAAGCTGCAAAAAATTCAAAAGAGGGCCGCAAGAATAATATTGAACACGACATATGACACACCGTCGGCTGATTTGTTCACAAGTCTTAAATGGATGACACTAGACAAGCGGTTTGAGTTAAGTCGCGTTATGATGATATATAAATGCGTTCATAACTTAGCACCCTCTTACCTTCAGGTAGGCTTAATCAATCCTAATGATGTACATGAGCATCATACAAGGCAAATAGACAGTGGATGTTTACGTGTGCCTAGATTTCACACTGATTGTTATAAGTGTAGCCCAATTGTTTCTTCCATATTTGAATGGAATAAGCTAGATAATTCGTTGAGAACGGCTTCCTCTGTCAATTCATTTAAGAGATTGTTTAAACAAAGTTGTAATTTGTGAATGGCTCAGCCGTACATACACTACGTGCATGTTCTGTAATATTTACATGTCTTATTCACATAATTGCGACTTAATTAATATTTTCCTATTGACATTACTGCTTACTAGGTTAATGATATATGTTAATTTTGCAAACGAGTATTATTTTTGTAACTGTTCTGTATAAATGTTATAAACGATGTAAATATGTTCATTCAGGGCCCCATGGAAGACCACTACTTGCTGGTGAATGGGCTACCCTGTCAAAAGATCAGAAATAAATAAATTAATAAATAAATTTCAGTAATTCGGTTACTGACAATCATACCTACCATGCTATGCTCTAGCATGACATACTATTTCCCTCTTAATTTGCTACATGATAGTAAAATTGTCGCCTTACAAATCTAGGATAGTATCATTTATTAAAAGGAATCGGACACTAGCCAGGCTCTGCAAAAATCTCCCCAAACTAAGACTTGTACTACTACTACT